CTTAACACACGCTAGACATTAATAATTCTGGAATAAATACAAGACAAAAAGAGGGTGGGGACTAAGGATAAAGTAAAGGATATTACAAAAACCAGGGACCAGGAGCATAAATGTTACATGTAGTAACTATGTAACATCTCACTAATACCTTCCATCTCTACTGAAATAATTACATATACTGTCTTCCACATTATTTTCTGTACAAATAGGAGACAAAAACATATCCAGGCTAGCTTAGTCAAAGATAAATACGAAGATCTGTGATCATATCTACTTACGCATTCTTCCTTCTCCCACTGCATAGCTAAGTCATTTTTTGTCACATAATCCACTGATCAAGGTGCTTTTGTTTGTTCTTGATGTTACAGCAGATCTCTCCCCCTTCTATCAAAGGCCACTAAAAAGATCTCACAAAATATCTATAAATTTGCAAGTACTGTGTACTTGATGAATATCTTATATAATTCTGAGCTTAAAAGTAGGAACGCTTGGATATAGATCAGGCTAATATGTGGGACGTAATATGCTCGAGAGTTACCAAAGTACTAGGAACTCAGTAACACAGGGTATGTTGCGTTTAAATTAAAGGAGATAATTATGAGTGATGGTTCAGATAGAAAAATAAGTTGAGAAATTCGTTAGGGAAGAATGGGTCTGACATGAGCTAGAAATAAGTAGGACTCGTCTGTGACTTATTTTTTATATGTATTTAGGATCCAGTGAAACTGTCATATGTTTGTACTTTAGCAGTGACTGAGTTTAAAGGCAGTTGGGTTGCAAAGTTTGAGCAGTAATGTATTGATACTACAGTGGAAAGATGACAAACTGTAGTTTCAGATTCCAGTTCTTTACTAAAACTATTTTTTACGTGGTGGGAAAATTCCTGAGCTAGTCTGAGCTTGTATTTTTCCAATGATAAAAAAGAATAAAATATCTCTTTTCAGGTTTGTTGAAAGGATTGGGAATAAATAATATGCTGTTTCTATAAAATACCTGGCACAGAGTAAGTGTTGAACAATTGGTAGATGATCATCATCATCATCATTAGAGGAAAAACTGGGGAATATGGGGAACTAGACAAGCCAGGGCTCGTCTTTTCTGCCACTGTACTCTCCTGGTTGTCCTGCACTAGCCCTAACCTTTCTCTGTCACTTCCTCCTCACTGTGGCCAGAAACTGTTTTCACCTGTTATCCTGATTATTTTCAACTAAGCAGCATATTAGGTTTTCTCTTAATGTAGAACCTATGTTGTAGAAATTTATGGCCATGTTTCAGTCACATAAAAAAATAAAAAGTTTCTTAGTATATTACATGTTGTTTGTTAACTCTTCTAAACCTAAAGTGAAATTAGAAAATCAATAAATGTTCGTTGAATTTAGGAAATGCATAAGC